CGGCTCTGCAAACCCCAGTTTAATTCAGACTTCAGAGGGCTGATGTCCAACTAATCGGTCTGACAGAAGCTGTTTAAAGTTTCTGCTCTGGACTGTCGCCATGACAGACGATTTCAACAGCTCTCAAAAGAGAAGTTTTATCAGTGTTTCTTTGTGGACCCGCAATAAGATTACGTAGTGTGTACACAGAGAAGCAGATAAACAGGGCCAGACTGTCACCATTGTCTCACATAATCACATGTTAGCAAAGAGATCGAAATGTGGAAACTTACATTAATCACTAAGTGATCCAGATAATAATCCTTTAGTGTCCACTGCATTACAACACTACAAGCAGCATGTTTTACCCTAATGTGTGGCCAAGCCATCGGGTAGTTACTGGGGTAACTGTGTTTTCTGGTAACCAGGAGTAAATGTTTAAAGGTTTGATATTTTACATAACTGCTTTCAATAATGGTTGATTTTATGTTTAATGTTTAAGTTCAAACGCCACAAGAGCAGCAGCTCCACTATGCTCAGACATCTGCGGCACACTTCAGGCTCATACGCAGTACGCAGCGTTGTTAGCCATAAGATGATTAGGTGTGGGGACTGAGTCTGGAGCCGCGAAGCAAAACTGTTCAAGTGTTGTTAGCCGACGCTTCAACAACCAAAAGCAACGCTCAGCAGAGATGAGCGAGGAGGGCTGGAGATGAGAAGGGAAGCGCGTGGATGGGTAGTAGGGGGCATGTGTTTTTTAGCCCACACATTCTGCGTCCTGACAGCAGGGGGATCCAACAAACTCAGGGAGTGCAGGTGAGCCCCCGGTTAGTGAGTGTGTGTTTTGATGAGGTGATTCGAAACCTTTGCTTCTGGGATTTGTTGCCTTTAGGTTCAACTTGTCACAAAGTGTAAGCATGTTCAAGATGGCTGCTGCTCCAACAACAGAGCATGGCGGTTACTTAAACTAGCAAAAGACAGTGTGCTTATCCAAAGCTATTTATGTGAATCCCTTAAGTATCTGAAGCCCTTATTTAACTTTTTTTTTTATACTGGTGCTACTAGCATGTTACAGCAAAGCACTGATCAGCAGGGTAGATGAGCCTGACGCTACGCTCCAAGTGGGACGCCAACCGCTTGAAATGTGGGTCTCAGGAGAGCCTCAAATCACATTTAAAAACTGCTTAAAACCAACACAAGTTATTAACGCTCTATAATGTTGAAACGCAAATAATTCTAAAATTGAACTAGCCCAAAGCAGGCACTAAGTGGAACCAGGACATTGTTCAGGCAGGTTAAGAATATTTATAAAATACCAAAACTAGTCAGCAAGAGGATCAATACCATAGTTTGAATCTTACTTTTTGTGCATCATCAAGAAAAAAAAAAACAGAACTAAAAGAAAAACATAACGTGAAACTGTATTCATAAAGATGACAACACACTATAAACCTATATTTACTGACACTTTTGGTATCTGACTAATAAAAGATAGAAAAACTGATTTGATAATATATAATATTACTGAAATTATTATTATTATAACATTTTGCCCTGCAAGGGACTGGCAACCTTAAAAAAAAATAAAACAAGGATTTCCTTGTTATTTACTGTGTGTCAGGATTACCTCTATATAAATTACTATTCAGTGTTGTTTTATTCACAATATATTAAATTAACTATTTTAGAAAATCACATTTCTCACCTTTTGTTTACTGTATTTCATTACCGTGAACAAGAAAGTTCTATTTCCTTGCTTCCAGCTTCATAAAATTGAGTTGGACTGAACATGACATTTGATGACGCTGCCTCTGCTTTGGGAAGCTCTTTGACATTTTGCTGGCTGATTGATGAAAAGAGAAAAATTAAAAACCCTTTCCTCAACAAAGAAAATAATTATTTACTGAAGTTTTAATTCCTTAATAATAAGTCATCTAATTTATCAAAACCAAAATATGTTTGTGTTGCCTGTAACACATTTTTGTCCAGACACTTCCCAGTCCATCAGCCGACCACAAAGGGACACAGACGCAGCTGCATGGCACCTAAAAACAGGCCAAGAGGAGTGTTGGAGTTTGACTCCAGACATCAGTTTTGTAAATCTCTAGTTGGCAAGAGCAGACAAAAACTGGATCCACACCATCACAAACTGCTTCCAAGTCTGGAGTTTTAAACCACAAATACAGCTCTGGAATCTCCAGTTTTAATCATAATCATAAATGATAAATAATAAAATCATATTGCGTCATACAATTCAACAAAAATCAAACAACTACAAATAGCACTGCTGCAGCCTGCAAATGTAAACACAAATAGAAGGCGGCCTTCCAATGCCCCTTCCCCTCCTTCAAAATTCCCTCGTTTCTGTCATTTGCCGGCAGCTGCACACCGGCCTCTAGTATCCTGGTTGTCCTGTCAGCAGTCTGCAAAGAGACGGAGGCATGGAGCAGTCAGCCTGAAATAGCACTGCAGTGAGCGGACACAGCTGATAGCAGAGGGGTTTTAGCTGCAAAATACAGCACGGAAACAGACTGACACAAATACATACACACTAGTAGATGAGAGCAGAATCTAACGGAGCCTTTTGTTGCAAAATCATGAGTCATGGCAACTCTATTATTAGTTCGGGGGTGTTCGTGTTTGCCCAAGTTATGTGAACTTAAAGTGAATGCTGCGCCAAAGGCTAGAGGAATATTAAGAATCTGACTGGGAACATCTCTGGGTCACTGGGTGGCTGAGTGACTCATTGATGCACTATGGGTAAAGATAGGACCTCTAACAAGCACATGGATCTTTTTTTTTAGAATTAAATGTAAACCTGGGAAGATATAACCATGTATTTTATTTTTAGAAAACAAATGTTACTCAATCCCGATTTTTCTCTACTTTTCTTATTAGGGAGATCTTCCTACTGCTGACAAAGCTTCCTGCCACCTTAGAGCTAGGCATTGGTAGTGAATTCATCCGCAGACACTCAGGTGGAAATGTGCACAGACCAGCCGGGCTCCTGCTGGGAAAAGGCGGGCGGACAGACGGACGGAGGGCTGAACACGGCTGCTGTGGGTGTTTCTTTGGCAGTGTCTTAGCTGGTTGTTGTGAGGAGTGAGAACGAAGCAATCAGCAAGTATACTGCCGCAGAAATTCTTCGCAATTAGAGGCCCCCAGAATAACAGTTACGTGGAGGAAAATCAAGATGGAGCTAAATCTTTGCATGCCAGCAAATGTCCAAACGGATGCTGCTGCTCCTGTAAGTCTAAACCTGACTGACTGACAGCATGAATTTTCTGTTAACAGCCTCGCCAACATTTACAGTCGGAACAGAGCGTCAAACTTCTGTACTTTCATGATCCTCTGCTGCCATCTTGTGACTGATCGCAACCTCCCAGCATGCTTTTGTTCACAAAACACTCCACCAATTAGCAAACCGATATTGAGTGTTTTCATTTAGAAAATGTTAAAAACATTACTTGGCTTTATAAGACATGAGATTCCTAATATTTAAGTTGCAAATGCATGTTTCTCTGTTGCAAAATCTAATTTTGCATCCCAAATTGCATCTCTTTTTCTTGAATGCTAACAAATTAATGTTAATTGTTTCCATTGCTTCCTAATACTTCCTCCATGTCTGCATTGTAATTGTATGAAAAGGGGAGCAAATAAAAGTTACGCAAAGATAGCTTTGGGAGTTTGTCTTGTTTACTTTCATAACACAAACGCATTTTGTAATTATGGAAAAACTGCGTTGTGCAAACCACTCTGAACCGAGTAAAAGCATGAAGAGACCCTTGAAAAACGCACACTGCCGCAAGAACAAAGCAGACCTAATGAGACCAGATGAACCAGGTGCACGCCAATTTACAGAGGCGCGCAGTGCGTAGAGCCGAGTGTGTCATGCTCAGGCCTTTTGTTTTCTTTTGGCGTGTTGGAACAGTCTTGAAAAGTGGTGCGCAGTTTAAAAACTGGCTGCTGCTAATGTGTGACCCGAACGCAAACGTTGCGTTTGCTGCAGTCCCTGAGAGAAACACCGACATCCACTGCACTGCTGCAAACACTTTAACAGATTGCAGCTTTTCTGGGCTGCAGCGCTGCAGAAGCAGTAAAGTTCAGCTCTCACACAAGGTCATTGCTTCACAGGCTTTCAACCTTTCGTCATTTTAGTTCTATGGAAAACCCCAATTATAAGATCAACAAATAAATAACAGAAGCTGGACACAAAGCATTTATATAATAAATATTTGCTCCTTATTTGAAATGTCACCATTTGTGTCACTTTTACAGGAGACCTGCAAGATGGAAATGCACTTTGAGCTCAAATGTGAACCTATCAGCAATGCAGTTTTATTCAGTCTAAACCATATTTCTTTATCTAAAATTAACTTAAATTTAGTTAATATATTAACAAGCTCACATCAATTTTTTAAAATAAATTATGTGCATTTATGTGGGACAATGTGTGCGATCTGTATCCTGAATTATTAATTGAAAAGCAGCCCATACATTATTTTTTTTGTCTCTTCTCTGTTCATTCGTTTGGTTTGATTAGGTTATGTGGGGCAGATTTCACACATGTGACATGACATGTGAACACACAAAGCCTGCGATCGCAAGTGCAATGTATTTTTAAAGGGATCAAATAGAAACCTGCTGGACACCCATTTTAGTTTTAGCACAGATAACAAGTCAGACCAATTGTTCTGGGATAGAAAAACCAGGGATGGAGCTGCAACGTGACCAATCATTTGAAGAGTACAAATTCCCTTTGAAGAAGACAAATTATTATACATAATATTCAAAGCCCTTGGGCCCTAAAGAACAACACAGATTTGAGTTTTTTTTTAGGTATATAGTCTATTTTTATTTCGATCTACTTAGAATACTGACTTTACACACCATATTGTCCTATGTGTCATCTGGTGATGCCACAGCTGAACTGGGGTCACACGCAAAGACAAACGGAGACAGAAATAGACCCCTATCTGTCCATTACCAGCTGACCTAACTTCTGCTCTGGGTTCCGGTTGGTGAAGCGACCAGAGCAGAGGGGAGGCGGGGAGGGAGGGCTTAAAACAGGCTGGAAAGTTTGCTTTGGTTCGCTCAGAGCACCGAGGGAAGTTTGGCTTGGCGTGAAGGGAAATTCACACCATGGGGCCATGATAACAACCAAAGTAGCCGTGCTGGTCGCCCGAGCTCTGGTCGCAAACACGGTTATTCAGAGGGTCGTGTCGTTCCCCATGTAAACGATGGAAAACGGGAATCAGACAGAGCTGTATTTGTCTGAGCAGGTGGTCGTGTTGTGTACCTGCGCTCTGTCGTTCTTGGGCTCCTCTTTGATCATACTCACTTACATTATTTGGTCAGATTTAAGGACGACTCCGAGGAAACTGCTCGTTTACCTGTCGGTGTCTGACTGGCTGTCCGCCGTCTCCTACGCTTTCGGAGTCTGGAGAGTTTTCCGCACCGACTCGCCTGACTGCGTGGCTCAAGGAGCGATATCCACTTTCTCCAACACCAGCAGTTTCTTCTGGACCGTGGCCATTGCTGTGTACCTGTATGTTTTCATTGTGAGGTCCAGCCAAAGAGTCGCTGACAGCCTGGTCCTGCCTTTTCACCTCGTCAGGTAACAATGCGCCGTAAACTGTAATTAGCTGCCTTCAAAAACTAGCCACCAAATGTAGCGTGAAGCACCGTGGCACAACTGGTGGGAGAAAATGCCCCGAAGTAAAACTTTTCGTCTTGTTTTATGTTTTGTTTTTTCAGTGCCGAGATACACGGTTATGTCTTCTTAAAAAGTGAGAGGTGTTTTAACTGTGAAAATGGTTCACTTTAAAGCAGTAAAGTTTAACTTCTCCAGACTAGCAGAGCTGACCGTTTCTATGGTAACACTAGACGTGGGTCCTTCAGTCTGACCGAAATAAGAAAGGCTGTTTTCTGTGTGAAAAATGACCATATTTTGTGACTCTGACGTAACCCGTGGTGCCAGTTTTGTTTTGACTCCATCTCTCAGCAGGTCAGCTGATGTTATCATAACAACCTGGGTCGTGTCTTGTTTTTTGTTTTTTTTACCCAGTGGCGAAATAAATATACCCATGTTCTGTAAGCTACATAGATCCAGTTTTAAAGTACAGTCTGTTGTGTTAACGCTTCCTCTCCAGAACATACAAAAGGGATATTTTGTCATTCCCAAATTTAATGGCGTTGGTTAAATGGTTTGTTTGTTTGACTGAATATCTGATTAAATAAACGTTTAAAGCAGGCATTTTAAAGGTCTCCAACCTTTCCAAAAGTCATGTACTGTGTGTGTGTGTGTATATATATATATATATATATATATATATATATATATATATATATATGATTTTAAATTTCACATCCCTCAAATTCAAAATGAAATATTACAGTAAACAATCCAGCTGTCCAAAAACTGATAGTCTGTGAATCAGAACTTATTCTTTGTTCCTATATCTATAAGGTCGGCGATATCCAATTCTTTAGAACTTGCTTTTTAGGTGTGTTGGATTTAAGCAAAAGAAAAAAAGGTTTCTGAAAGATGGATAACTCAAAGAAAGGCCTCTAATCTGATCCACTTGGGGGAAAATGCATTTGGATAGAAAAGATGCTTTTGGAAAGTACAGATGGACAATTTTTTTATTAAAGATCAAGTTGGATCTGGAACACAGTTCCTGGAACACAGTTCCAGAAACACGTTGTGGGCCACAGAAGCGCTGTTTTTCTCTAAGTCCAGCTATTATCTGCACTTACTGAGAAATGCTTAAACTGCTTACCTTCTAAATCTATGTTGACCTGACATTTTTATCGTCAGCATGTTTCCTCGTGTTTAGGTCCCCTGGAGGTGGATTGTTGTGACCTGCCTGTGATGTTGCTGCTCTATTGACTCGAGGGAGAGCAGGCTTTGAGATAACAAACTAAGAAAGTGAAGAAAAGGCTGCACAACAGTGGTTTGGTTTGTTTTAATTACAACCAAGTGAAAAAAATATTGGATTTGATAACTGATATTATGTACATAGTGCCACATGGTCGGTTAAATTATCCCAAAATAAGCTCCTGTTTAAACATATTTACTGAACATCCACTTTCGTGAATACCCAGTCTTTCAAGGAGTTTATAACCACAAGAACAGTTAGCAGTCCAACCAACTGGGATTTTTTTAAAACTTTGTCAGATGATGTTTCACTGGTTAAGATGTAATCATCTGAAAGTAATTTCCAGGCTTAATAATATAATGGAATAGAATTCAGCTAACACATCCTATGTTTTATCCTACGTTTCATCCTCTGTCACTACGTCTTTTACATGCTAATGAGCTACCCGTGATCATTTTGTGACTGTGGGCAGGGAGGTGTTTAGCTGTGTTGTAGCTCCCTGTAGTTGATCTATTTCTGGACACGGGAACATTTTAACCCCTGGGCTTGCCTCACCGCAGGGTTTTCAGTTTAATTTTGCTTCTACAAATTCCCAATAAAACAATGATGCCTTTCATGGAGGCTTATGACGTATAAACACAACTGTGCCTGAAGTATTGTAGTATTTAGAATTATATGGCTTGGATTACCATGAAAATTGAGTATTGAATGGAGCATTCTCTTTTTTAAGGTTGTAAGAGTAGACGTTGTCCTGCAGGGGAAAAAGCAGAACAGTGTTGAAAAGCAGAAATCTTGTTCTAGCCACGTGTCATACAGGCTAAACTAACAACACTGGTATGACTGTGCAGTTTGCACAATGAAACGCAAACAAGCACAAGATTATATTTCACATGGGGTCACATGTCTTGAGTATTTTTCGATGTACTGATCAAACATTTACACACACAGAAAAAAGAAAAAGTCATTAGAAGTCATTTGACCCCTCTTTGAGGCTGATAACATTTAATCTCCAACCCCTTTGTTGTTTGTTCCAGCTGGGGTGTTCCTCTGATCATCACCGTCACAGCTGTGATTCTAAACAAGATTGGTTACGATGCATCGGAGGTGTCTGTGGGATGGTGTTGGGTCAGAATCCACGCTCCGGACCGGGTCCTGTGGATGCTGCTGACTGGAAAGATCTGGGAGTTCCTGGCGTACCTCACCCTGCCCGTGATCTATATCTTGATCAAGAGGCACATCCACAAAGCGGTGAGAGTTTCATCTGTCAGGATCAATGCCAAAGCATTTCTGAAAGGAGGCGGCAGCTCAGTCTTTTCTTTGTTTAAAAAAAAATCATAAATGATATATGCACAACTCTTATTTAAGTCAAGAATATACCTTTCTGCAAATCCTCAGCCATCATCACCTTCATTTGGTGAGGCTGAAAACTGGCCCTGTGTTAAGTGTTGATGATTGAACAGTGACATGACACAGAATTTATCTTTTAAACACATCAAAACAGGCTGAAAAGAAAGTAGGAAATGATGTAGTAGTGATGAGACCTGTGAAAGTCCTGGCCGTTGAGAATGGGATCCGTCTCCTGACCTAACATCTTTGCCTGTCCCAGGGCACCCCCAGCTAAAGTATACAGCTATCTAAATGCTGACATTCCACAAGGCCCTCCAGTTACTGGCAAGAAATAAATTCTACAAAAAGCCATCATGAATATTACATCAGCTGTTATATTTAAAGATGAATTTAAAAGTAATTACATGTTTGGAATGATAACTAAGAAAAGTTGGTAAAAGGACAACACATTTACAGTCTGCCCTCTGTTGTTTTTTAACTTCTCAAACTTAAGAACATCCAGTCTCCCATTGATGCAGAAAAAGTAGCTGTTCTGACCTGCAGCATTTTCATTCCTTATAATAATTCATTTACTTAATTTCTATCAAATTTAATTCATATAGGGCCAAATCACAACAAACGTCATCTTTATTGCCACGAAGTGCAGACTAGCTTCCAATCAATGTATTTTCTGAAAGAGGAAGCAGACTGCAGGCGCACTTCCTTTTTCAGGAGGCACACACACCCTCTCTGCTTTTGAACTCAGACTTATAATGTTTCTTTTTGATTAACGTTGCCACAGTCTAATCCATAAGGCTCATTATGGTTGGTTACCAGTGTCATATTGGTCTTATAAACACAGCCTCAAAGGAAGAAGCAGCTGTTTCTGTAGGATGTCAGAAAGGATCACCAGACTCGAGTACCCATCCTCTTTTGGTGGATGAAATAACACTTCAGTTATTTATATATGCTACACATCGACTGAATAATTGTAAAATATCACACCAATTAAAACCTTCACTAATCCTTTATCTTTTACACTTGAATTTTTTTTAATGTTTCTCAGTTGTTTTTTTTTAATGAGTATGTTTTCTGTTGATGACAGCAAGACTGCTATGTTAATTTATTCCACAGTAGTATAACTTGGCACTATAAGCTAAATGAATTATTTTTGGCTCACACTATACTTTCAAAGACTAATCAACTCTGTCTCTTTGTTTGGAAGTGGCAGCTGTGTCACATTTCTGTCCTACAGACAGTTTCAAATGTCTGCCTAGTCATTTCTTTTTTTGTTTTTTCATTTGGCGTAAAAAAATAATAATTAACCGTTCTCCCACCGCCCTCTGTCTGACACAGCATATGGCCCTGTCTGAATACCGACCCATCCTGGCCAACAGGCGTCCGTCGTACTCCTTCTCCTCCATGGCTGACATGAAGCTAACTCTCATTCCCATCATCTTCATCGCCCTGCGCATTTGGAGCACCGTGCGCTTCATACTGCTGCTCGCTGACTCTCCTGTCAGGCAGAATCCGGTGCTCGTCACGCTACATGTGAGTTTAAAGATGAATGCACTGATGTCCAGTTTGGAGGAGGTCTATTAATACCCGTTTGCTGACCAGAATAAGCTAGCACATTAGCGTGGGAGTGGATGTGGGCCATCATTAGATGATGCGCTGTTAGTCGAGTGTTATAATGTGCTGTCAAACCTCTGAGTCGTCACACCGTCATTATGTCATATCCCCATGGAAAGGGATTTTTTTTAGTAGCCATATTATAAGTTTTGAACATTTTAATGATTATAATCAATGATATAGATTATAATCACCTAACAACGTTTAATGTCCTTATATGAAATAAATAACTGCTCCTCTCGTCCTTTGATTTGACCCAACAGGGTATTGGCAACACTTCTCAGGGAGCAGCCAACTGCATCATGTTTGTTTTGTTTACTCAGCCGATCCGCAATCGCCTCTGCACTGCGCTCTGCTGCTGTGGATCTAAATGCCGAGAAGAGGTGCAGAGCTCCCACAATGCCACGCAGAGGCTGCTGCCTGGACAGGGCTCCCAGACCCAGAGGGACGAGGACAGCACCAGCCTAGTGCGGACGGACAGATGATACTTTACCTTAGGGACGAGTGAAGAAAGACTAAAGAGAGCCGTGTAGGTCTCCACTTAAGATGAGCCTCATTAAAGCAAGTGCCTGCTTGGAGGGCTGTAGATTCTGCAGGTGCATGCACATCTGCGTCACGTTCCTGCACTTTGGGTGATGGGCTGATGCTGACTGCCGGTCAGAGCCAAACGAAGCATTAGATGACACCCTAAAGTGCGGTTTTACTTCAGGTTGTTCATGCCACACTCCATGAATGACAGCCGACTGTAAAGTCTCACGTTCTGTTGTGGAGCGTTCACTGTGAATTTATATTTAGTTTTCTTTCTTGTACTTTCACATGACTGTGATAAAAAAAAATTGTTAAAGAAAAGTTTTTCATTCTTTGATTCTTGATCATACTGTTCGACTTATTGAAGTCTCACAGAACATTTATCCTGAATATGGTCACCCCTGTTGTTCAAACGTGTTGCCGACCTTTTGTGCTGTCCTACCGTCCATAAGGGCTTAGTCTTAATTCTAAACTAAATTTATCCTGATACGGTTTAAACACAAAAACCAGAAGTACTCGCATTACTTACCACGCATTCTTAACGTGTTTCAGACTGAAGTTGCAAAAGAACATCAGAGTCTGACGTGTGACCAAATGCGCCTACATCATCGCTGTCACTGTGGTCAGGAGAATAATGAGTTATTATCACATGTCGTGCTTCCTTCTTCTAACCTGAGCTGCACACATGAGCCCCACTTCTTCTTTTGACCCTCACTGCTGGTTGCTTTCTGTTTGCTTCAGTAAGCCGCGGGCCTAATACTAGCAGGGAATGTGTGAACTGCATACATAGGTTAAGACGGCTTGAGCCACCAGCTTGCCTTAATACCACAATGCAGCTTCCCATAGCCCCTTTGGGTCCTGATCGGGATAGTTTTGGTCAAAGTTGGGAACTTCATCTCTCAATTTGTGTGTGAACAAGGCTGGACTCTTCAGAGAGAAGTTAGTTTCCATGCAGCAGTTCCAGTCCTACTGTTTGCATTTCTATATTTAGAATAAATAAGCATTTTGACTTTATTTTGGGTTGAAGTAATGGAACACTGTGAGAGCTCAGTCTCTCTCAAGTCATCAGTTAGAGTGGCGACAGTGTACTGAATATCCTGTCTGGGCAAATAGAGGCACTGAATTTTGATTACGTCTAAAGATGCCAGGGGAGTTTTTTTTGTCCTTGTGCAAGGCAGGGGACACACAGAGGACCCCTCAGCTGCTGCATTTCCTGCAGGAATCAATCCATTGTATTACCACCGAGATTTGGCTGACATTGAAACAAGTAAAGCTGGTGAAAATACTTAGAGAAGAGCTTCCTGCTCTCTCCTCTGCTGGCTCTGCGCCCATTTAATTCATTAAATTCAGGCGTAACCCTGAGTCGTGCTAGGCAAATGAGCAGACTTCTCACCAGCGGGACGGCATCTCTTTAAGCAACACATCCAAAACATTAAACGAGCCTTACAGCTTTTAAAGAGAAAATACAAAAACATCAAGGGAAAATTCTCTGCAGAGTTCTTAATTTTACTCAAGTTAGAAATACTGATCTCCGCAAAGGTCCCTGTGAAACTCCATTTTGCATTGTACATGCAATACTCTGTGTGTCTTTTTAAATTATGACAAGGTATCCACCACAACATTAGCCCCACCACCTGCTCACTGCAGACATTTTTCCAGTTCCATCCTGGCCCCACCAGTTTGACTGCTTTTCATTCTGGTCTATCAGCCCTGCTCTGGAATGCCTTTTCCGTTTAGGTTCTGTTCTAATTTGTTGAGTGTAACTTCTCACTGAGCCCTGTTTTGTTTATGTGTATTCTCTGTTGTAATTGTAAGGGGGAGAAAAAACTCTAAGAGTGAGTAAGATGTTAACTATTGTGTTCTTGATTTGCCTTGTGATTCACCACTTTGTTTTGAGTCCGAAAGAATTAGCAGGTGTTCTTTGATTTGTTAACAGATGGTGAATTCAGCACATTGCTACTTTAAATAAAAATGACATTTCCTTACAGAGACACCATCTGGTTTAACATGATCTCCTCTTATCCCATCTAAATCTGTTCAGATCACAAATGATGACACCTATAGCTGATCCTTAAAACAAAAAGGGCACATCCTTGTAACATAGAGGGATATGGTCACTTGGCTGGGCCAAAGGGAAGACAGGAGCCTCCTCGCTCCCAGATTGCCCAAAACCTATTATCTCTTCTGATTCATTTCAGTCAGCTGAATGCTGACATGTTTCCCCATTTCATTTTCGAAGCTCCACAGTGTGGTAATACAAGATTAAATGGGGACAGCTCAATGCTGGATCAGTTTCACCAGTCTGCTGAGCAGCTGGCAGCTCACAGTGTCCGCCCCGCTGCGTGGAATGAACTTCAGCTGTTCAGTAAAAAAAACTAGCTATGCCTCTCACAGACTGTGGTCAGCAACCTGAAGGCCACTTGCATGGTGTTTTCTTGTTTGTTGTACAATTGTCAGACAAGGCGGGAATGTAATGGCTCAGATTTTTAAGTGTTTTTAAATTCTAAAAAATATATGAAAAAAATAATTTATTTATTTTTTCATTTCTTTTGTGGCCTTTAGTGTCATTGTTAGATGTAATTATTATTCTGTGTTTTCTTGGTTCGTGTAGATCATTTCTTTGCTTCTCATTTTTGTGAGCTGGTTTGACACACTGACAGAAAATGTAACTAAACTTCTTTTGAACCCAAATTCTGGACCTGAATCTGAACTACTGCTGTACTTTGAGCTTTTATGCTAGTGCTCAGTGGACTTGTTCAGTAAAGCTTCCATTATGATGTCATGTCATGAGGCAGAGCACATGTCTTTTTCAATAAGTGAGCAATGAGCTAATAAAGCCACAAGTACTTTGACTTTCACTGTTGTGAGATATGCACAGCATGGTACCTGCAGTTTACTCTTTCATGTGAGCTCAAAACGAAAGAGTAGAATACAGGGTTGGACTGGGGCCTATCCCAGTAGTCAATGGGAGAGAGGCAGGGCCAACTTGGAATATTCAATGTCTAATCAATCAAACATGCAGTTTTTTGGATGGTGGGAGGAGGCTGGAGTACCTGGAAAGAACCCACACCCGTTGCATTTATCAGTACATGCAAAAACGTAGGCTGCCAGTTAGAGGTGGAAAGAAAAAGCACAAATAAAATCATCATTTTAACTCAGTCAAGCAGTTCAGAAATCAGAAAATCTAAGGAAAAATAAAAGCTGAAGGAAGCAGGAATCAGACAGCCCAAAACCAAAGAAAATTAAAGCAAAGCAGCAGAACGCAACAGGAGCCGGAGTGCTTTAACACTGAAGGGTGGTTAGATTAATCAAAATAGTCAATGAATGAACAAATGTAACTTCTAATGAAAACCAGGTGCTGAGTAATAAAGCAAACACTAGTGCAAATTATAGGTAGGAGGGAAACTAACTGAGATGTACCAGGAAAACAAACTTCACAAATAATAAAAACCACAAGACAACTAAGATGATGAATAAACCCAGACATAAAATCATAAACCATGACAATCTGGTGGAAAATTTGCAGCAGATGTCTCATCAGATCTGCTTTTAATTCTAGTTTTTGAAAACACTGGATGATGAATCTTGAAAATGTGCTCTTATTTGGATGAAGCTCACTGTAAACAGATTGACTCCTTGAAAGGGATAAGAATGAGACTTGAATCCAGTTATTTAGCATCTGTTCACTAAATCTGTTCAAATCACCAAACGTTCAACAAAACACTGTCAGTTGTTAAGGCACTGCTGTTTATCTCTGTTTAAATAAAAGGAAGGACGTTTTTTCCTCCTCTGTTCAGTTGAAAACCAGATTCTTAATGCACCCCAGGCAAATAAGCTGCACACGTGTCAACCTTGTCCTTGCATTAAGGCGTCCTTGAAGCAAACCACATCCAGTTTAAGAAGCTAACAGCCGCGGGGACATTATATTGACAAACGGACTCAGCTTTGGAGATAAGAGGTGATGCTGCAGAGAACAAACCACTGGCAAAGCTGACAAAATTGGACATCTGTAGCAGTGTTGTTTCTGAAACAAAAAAAAAGCATCTACTCAGTATCGTCAGAAGGAAATTAATCATCTTTAAAAGATACAAAGATACACTTAATAAAACCTTTAAATAGAACCTGCAGGTAGACTTACAGTAAAGATGTCTTATCCTTATCATTTAAGCTCTAATGACGCTTGTATCTCTCATCAGTTTATCTGATTTGCCGTAGTTGAAGGTGTTGTGTAATAGAGGTACTCATACTTACATTAAATCCAGGCAGGAGTTGATATCTCGCCACTTTAGTGTTGGAAACTTCTCAACCTGCGTGCACAATCAGCAGCGTGAGACCGTAAACTGCAGCAATGCTCTCTGATCTGGTGTCCAAAGGGCACAGCGGGGGTGCAGCAACAACAAAACACTGTTGTGAGTGGTAAAAAGTGACAACAAGCCCAAACACAGCCATGGCTGAGCTCAAGGAATGGGGGAGGCCTGTGGAGAGGAAAGGGGTGAGTGACTTTCCTAATCTTCCCTCCCTCCAAAATTCAAAGAATCCTTAAAGGTGGTGTTTGCATTGTTAAAAGAGGTTTTAATGATTTCACTGATGTCCCTCGACAGAGGTTAACTGCTGTCCTGGCACTTGCAACGCTCGTATCTGCCTTCGGGTCATCTTTCCAGTATGGTTATAACGTAGCTGTGATCAACTCCCCAGCACCGGTAACCACCGTATTGTAACCCAGAGTTACACCGAGCCTTGGGAACTTGGACATGTGTTTATCTCAGTGCTGTCCCGCTCTCTTCAGTACATGCAGCAGTTTTACAACAGCACCTATGTGGAGCGTTACAACGCGCCCATGGAGGACAACTTCCTGACCTTGCTGTGGTCACTGTCTGTCTCTATGTACCCGCTTGGAGGATTCTTTGGCTCTTTGATGGTGGCACCCCTGGTTAACAAGCTTGGGAGGTAAATGCCACGTGACATGAGGGAAGTCATTCCAAGCCGTACGGTGTGTTTCCTACATTTGTTTCAACCCTGCCATAGGAAGGGCACCCTCCTCTTCAACAACATCTTCTCCATCGTCCCTGCTGTGATGATGGGGGTCAGTGAGATCGCTAAATCCTTCGAGATCATCATTGTTGCCAGGTTTATAGTTGGCATATGTGCAGGTCAGACTTTTTATTTGCAGCTACGTGTTATGAGTCAGTCATGATTGGAAGTTGATTTTCATCTTAGCATCCCTCCCTGTATGCAGGTCTCTCCTCCAATGTGGTGCCAATGTATCTGGGTGAACTCGCTCCCAAAAACCTGAGGGGGGCCCTTGGCATCGTGCCACAGCTCTTCATCACTATTGGCATCCTCTGTGCACAAGTGCTGGGCATCAGAAATATACTGGGCAACAGCACAGGTTTCCAGCAAATGTTTGATGCATTTTTGGTTAGATAACGACTCGGGTTCTAAAAATATAAAGCCCCTTTATTGGTTCCTCTTTATGTCCAGGCTGGCCCCTCATGCTTGGCTTGACTGGCATTCCAGCTGCGATGGAACTTCTGCTGCTGCCCTTTTTCCCGGAGAGCCCCCGGTACATGCTCATCCAGAAGGGACAAGAGAAGAACGCCAAGAAAGGTAAGAAAGCGCCAGGGCGTCAGAGCTTTACAGAGCTTTACAGAGCTGCTGTCAGTGAACGCCACGTCCTCCTGCAGCTCTGCAGCGTCTCCGCGGCTGGGACGACGTGGATGCAGAGATGACAGAGATGCGTCTGGAGGACCAGTCAGAGCGGGCCGAGGGCCACCTGACCGTGCTCTCCCTGCTGTCCCAGCGCTCTCTCCGCTGGCAGCTGATCTCCATCATCATCCTGAACATGGGCCAGCAGCTGTCGGGGGTCAACGCGGTGAGTCCCGCCTAGATGTCAATATATGGAATATCGTATTATTTTGATCTGACTCCAATTGAGGCTCCGTGTTCCCCTCCTTTGAGAAATTGCGTCTCTCTGGTTTTGTTCATGCGTTTTGATATTCTAAGGATGTTGCGGTTTTCTCTCTCTCCAGATTTACTACTATGCAGACAGCATCTATGCAACAGCAGGAGTCAGAGAGAATGACATCCAGTATGTGACAGTGGGAACGGGAGCAGTGAACGTCTTCATGACCATAGCTGCAGTAGGTACCCTAAAAAGCCGAAACCAAACATAAAGGGAGACAGCAGAAATGTGCAGTCTGTGTATGTGCGTCACGCCAGCGGGAGACTTTTGCTCTGACTGGGGGAATCTATGGTCTTAGGTCTTCATCGTGGAGTATTCAGGCCGAAAACCTCTTCTCCTTTTGGGATTCGGCATCTGCTGCGGAGCCTGTGTGCTGCTAACTGTGGCCCTCGTTTTTCAGGTACATTTGTTTCCTCCTTCACGGTGTCACACTGCTGCCATCTACTGGCTACGCATTCAAAAATCAAATCAAAGCTCTGCTGATATCAGCAGATTTGCATTAAAAGATTTATGAGATTTATGAGTGCAGTCTGTGGGAGAGATAGTACTCATCAGGAATCAACTGACATATATGTGAATGACTCGTCTTTGACTCATTACTGTTCTCTGGTCATTCCTGTTTTATTATATTATAAATGGTATGAACATTTTAATGAGGAGAGCTAGAGATTACATAGATTTTAAGAAAATACTACAGGTGTATAGGTGAAGCATTAAGAAATATTCCGTGCCACTGAAAGACCCCTTTTAGGTTTACACTGTTTTCTGTCAATGTGACACCATCTGAGTGGCATTTTAGCCACATGTGTGAATGAGCATCCTGGTGTTTTTCCATATATAGCTGTATCAGGACTCTCAATAGGTCAGTGCAAGGTACACCTCTGTGTTGCCTTCAGCATATTACAATTTGAAATGAAAAACAACCACACTAATAGATGGGATTGTACAGGAATAAACTTTTTTTTTTCTGTTAAGTCATCTACCAAATTAAGGCAAATAAGAACACATTAGCATGTCCAAAAAGTCTGAGAGAAACTGGCCAACACACGCAAGGTATGACCAGGATGGGTAATGGAAAGCAAATCCAGGAAATTAAATACAGCATGTCTGTTTATTTTGCATCCAAAGTTTGCGTCTGGTCTGGCTGATAAAATGACGACTTGTAATCTTTCTTTGCTGAAGTCACTAAAATCCGTCAGAACATTAAAAGACAGGCGGGTTACTACAGTGTGACAATCACTGGGCAAGAGATCCGCAACCTCTGCAAACCTGCAATCTCACCTGGATCTGACGTGCTCAGACAGACACCGTTTACAGCAGAAAAGGCACAATTTAATCATCATTCAGCAAGCAGCCATGTCAGATTAGACACCATCGATACGACCAGCCAACGATTATACCCATTTGTTTCTGTCCACAGGAGAGTGTGACGTGGATGCCCTACATCAGCATCTCGTGTGTCATCATCTATGTCATAGGACACGCCATAGGACCCAGTGAGTCTGACCCACCAGTGGTTATACACACACACTGATTACAACAGGGTGCTCCATTAGCTGGAGTGTTGTTTGTGCCTGGGCAGACATGAAATCACATGTCTCGTCAATCAGCACGCAGTTGTTTGAGACATGAGCACTCTCTCTTTGACTCCGGAGGGGTGGGAATAAACAACAAAAAACCACTCTGGAAAAATGAAGAAATCAGGAAATTAGGAAGAAACCAGAGGAACTGCAAGACAGCGGGGGAGGAACAAACTAACTATTTACAACCAAGTTTTTAAAGAGCAACTAAACCAATATAGTAAATCAATAAAACAGGCAAGACCAGCATATTTCTCCAAGATAATTACTGTTAACCTCTATGAACCAAAGACCCTTTTTGAACCTTTCAACCTTTGTGGCTGACCTTTTTTAAAACCTCTAATTGAAACCTAGAAGCCAAATATGAGCAATTTGCAGCCCATTTTCTATAAAAAATCATCGCTGTTCATTTATAAAGCTCCTAATGCCTTTAGTCTGAAGTATTCATCGAATTTCCTCAAAGTCTATCAGCCTGCCAGAGCCCTCGGGTGCTGATGTTTTATTTATATCGAAAGCAGGGACTAAAACACATGGAGAAGCATCTTTTGGTTTTCACAGTCAGTTGTGGAACAGCCCTACTGAGGAAATGATGGCTGATGTTTTAAAAGGAACATTGAAGACCTGCCTTTTTTGTAGAGCTTTGAATGTCCTTAACTAGCTCTATGTTTAAGCCGGTCTTACTTTTTTAAAACTTGTATTTAGTAACTATTGATAAATGTAATCCTTTTTAGAGTTCTTAATGAATTTAATCTAATATTCATTTGAAACAGTGTCTGTCCTGAGTCCTTATTTCAACCTATTTAATTTAGTTTTATCTCTGGTGTTTTAGTTACCCTAATTCTGAGGTTCAACACAGCAGTTTCATTGTATAGGGTCATCATTCCGAGTTCGGTGTTTGAATGGGACAGTCATGACATTCGTGTGGTTTGAGGAGTGGATGGGGGACGTGGGGATATTTGTCTGCTTTTAATCTATGAGAGGCACACGGTGTTGCAATTTATTTGTATGAAAAGTGCTGTATAAATAACGGTTAATTGATTGATAGTGTGTTGAAGGTGTTTTAGCTGGGGCTGACCACATCTGCTCCCTGCAGGCCCCATTGCGAACGTGGTGACCACTGAGATGTTCAGGCAGTCGGCCAGGCCTGCGGCCTTCATGGTTGGAGGCTCCGTCCACTGGCTCTCCAACTTCACTGTTGGCCTTGTATTCCCCTTCATGGAGGTTGGTTACACAACAGCAAGGGGGGGCTTCAGCTTTTTTTTTTTTGGTTAATTAAAAAATGGAATTAGCTACAGATGTTTGTTTATGCGACCTGGTTCTTTCTGTATGGAGTTTGCATGCCTAAACTTCATTCATCCATCCAGTGAGGAGAGAAAACACTTCACCTTTCTAAGAAAGAGAAGTTTAAATTCATATAGAGTCTCTTTATTCTGAATAAGGAAACAGAAAACTTGGAATCGGACAGATATCAGCTATGTGATGTTGTTTTCATGTTGCTGAGTGGTCTTGAGTGGGCTTGAGTGGGCTTGAGGGAATATTGTCATTGTGTTGCATGCTCTAAATGTGAAAAAATAAATTGCACCTCACAATTGGGTGTGAGACTAGAAGGCTATTTTCACTCAGCTGGTTTAGAGATGCTGGTTGGTAGTTATGTTCTGTTGAGCTTTTCCTTCTGCTTCTAGTGAATGGTGTAGTGTAAAACTGGAGATAAACAGAATGATTCCAGATGGAGAGAAGCAAACAAGGGAGGAATGTGTTTTTGTAATAGAGATCAAACAAAAGAGTATTCCCATAAAAGTTCTCAAAGCACACTTCAGCTCACCTTTCCTGCTGTTTACTTCCAACTGTTTCGAACTAACAGATTTACTACCTTCCATCTTGAGGACACACAGATCCCTTTTTTCTTCTCTTCCTTCTCCCTTCAGGGAAACCTCGGCCCCTACAGCTTCATCATTTTTGCCATCATCTGTCTGGTCACGCTGGTCTACGTCTGGCTGGTGGTGCCAGAGACCAAGAACAAGACTTTCCTGGAAGTCTCCCAGATGTTCGCTACAAGGAACAAAACAGAGATCAAACTGGGGGATGGTGATCATCCCCTGAAAGACAACAAAGAAAGCCCAGAGGATACAGAGAAGGTCACGGCCTTTTGAGGAAAAACTAGAACATTGAAAGGAAATCCTCACAGGGCTTTCATTTAGACTGTATTTCATATGTTGTGAGGAATTTTTAAAATGTCTTTGTGTAGTTTATGGCGGTGTATCTTGAAACATTCCTGTGCGGAATAAAAAGACTGAAGTGATGTCACTTTTTTCATCCATAAAGGTGTGAATGATGTGCATGAGTCATTAAACAAACCAACAAGCGTCTTATAAGCCTTTATTGATAATTATATGAATGCATTTATGAAGCTAAGCTGAAACAAACATATTAAATAATAACCCACTGGGGCCTGACAGGTATTTTATCCTTCATTACACATATGAAACTTATGTCAACCCCCCACCATCAGCAGTTGTATCTTGCGTTACAGCAACATTTCTAAGCGTAGAGCAGGAATAAGAGGCTTTTCAGGTGCATCTGTATTGGTTGTCCAGCTGCACCCCACCAAACAGGCTAACCCTGGTGCTTCCCCAGCTGAACACGTTTCCCACCACGGTGCTGTTACCCTCACAGGACATCTGGTCCCGAATGTCGGCTGTGGTCAGCACATAGTCCCACACGTTGACGTCGGTCATCTTACCCACAAAGGCATCCGTGTTAGAGATTCCCAGTAATCCATCCTGGTCTTTCCCCAGGATGAACACACCACCTGGGCGGATTGTGTAACCGCTCCTCAGGTACCGCTGCTCTCCAACCATGCCGTTGATCCAGAGCTCTGCCCCGCCGGTGTGAGAGGACCAGGTGACGCAGTAGTTTGCCCAGTCGAAGGCCCGGAAGTTGTGCGGCAGGTTAACAAACTCGTTGCCAATCCAGAGGCCCACCTCTCTGGCATCTGAGTCCTCCCCGATGGATATCATCAGTTCGTTGTCGTTGCCGTTGCTGGAATAGGAGAGGACGGTGTGAACTCCTTCAAACTGAGGCAGGACGTGCATGCACGCCGTGAATGAGTCCAGTTCCATGTGATGGCTGAGGCGGGCCAAAGCGTAGCTGCCAGAATTCCTGTCCTGGAAGTTGAACACCAGTGGAAACAGATCACCGTGTTCTGAAGGAGGCACAAAAACGGGAACTTCAGAGAGAAGCATCTCTTTTGCATCATAACTAACGGCACAAGCACTCACCGTATCTGGAAGGCCTTGAGTTGCGAGGTCCTATGCAAGACACAAGCAAACAGCCAGGTAAATAGCCAGGCTCCTCTGTTTCTAACAAATTTCTGACCATCTTCAAAAATCAAATCACCTGAGTGCATGTTCTTTCCAAGCGATGTTATCAAACCCTCGATCCTCAGGAGTCTAGACTCTATTTCATCTTGTCGACAAAATGCTGAGGAGGCAAATAAAAAAAGAAGAGAAAATGAGAAGAATTACACTAAAGCCACGGAAAATATCTATATCCCTTATGTGGACTAAATGTTGAAAGCTCTATGAAATCCCACTTTCACAACTAGTTACACACTTCCTTTGCCGAGGCGTGGCAGGAAAGAGGACTCCACCACACGGTCATTGAGCGGCTGAGCAATCCGGTAATCATTCCACAGGGTCTTGTTGTCAATGTCCATAAGAGTGCTCTCCAGTTTCCTGATCTGAGTGTCACAAAGAGCACATGTTTCTCATCTGAAGGCGGCACTCGATTTACAATTCAGAAGAAAGTTCAATCTGGCCCCCGAACCTGGTTGTGTGAAAGCGTGATGGGCGTATCAAACACGGTCCAGATGATGCTCTCGTAGCATGGGGGAGTTGTGAGGGAGCCCTCATACCTGAAGAAATGGTTGAGGTTCTCTGGGAGCATGGAGCGCACGTCAATGCTCGATATGTTCATGGACTGGCCTGTCCGGGTCACAGGAGTACGTCATTCACTCAAACACTTGATGCGGGATCAGATAAAGGTCGCAGCAAACATATTTTTAATGCATAAGGTTTGATTCAACGTCACCTGTATATTTGATTTTGTCAAGATTTGAGATGAAGTCACTGTAGTAAGTGTTCTCAAAGTGGCCATCCTAGAAATAAAGCACAATCATGTTGAAATATAAAGCCGAATGGTTCAAAATCATGCTTTTTTCCCCTTTGGAAAAAAATCAACATCTTACTTCTAACACTTTGTCCCACAAATGCCTGCAAATACTTACAATGCAGATGGTAGTTTATCATCCTTTTCTCCAGCAAAATGAAACAGATATCTGACAGATACCGTGGAACTACACCTAATGATGTGTCACGCAGCAGCAAAGACAAGGAAGAACTTGATGCAGAAGTGAGAAGTGTGCAAACTTAGGTGTGGTTGTTCTTTTAAAAGGGTGTATCTTTGCTGAAGCACTGACATCCCAGTTGACTGGTGTGGTTAAAAACCTCAAAACAATCCAATGCAAGTAAGTCTCATGGGGACATGGACTTAATTTTCCTGCAAAACATTCCTTCTTCCATCACCAATCAGGCCTCAATTTAGACACAAATTGGTCACAGGATGGACTCAATTTGTTCTCACCCTGCAAGCTATAGTATTCTGCCCTAAAAAAACACGAAACACACAAAGAATCAACAAGTATCAAAGCAAACATTAGATATTTGGTCAGTAATCTGAACGCAGGGGCATAGTCGTCTTTTGTAATTTCCGCTACTGATGTTCAACAGCATTGCTGTGATCCTGATATTCTCAGTGTGAGGGTAACACCTACAGTAATTGCCATCATCCCTCTTGAGACTCTGAGCTGCTCGAGCAGTCAGAACAACAGAGTTGGTCCAAACAAGGCTGGGTCTGTGCTGCTGTCTTAGTGGATGCCAGCGGTAACATTGCTGTGACGATGACCTCTCAGGGGAATGGAGAGGAAGTGTCTCAGAATATCGTCTCAGTCCGAAGGAAACAAGCATTCATTCAATATGTGGGTCAGAAGCTGGAGACTCAATAAAGCCTTTAATCCTGCAGAGCCACCAAAAATAATTCACTTCAAAGACTAAAGGAAAATGAATTATCATTTTCACTACAAAGACTTTCAGTCTCTAAACTTCCTACCATAGAGAACCATCATCATTTTTCTGAATGTGAATGTCAAATAACCTGGTGGTGAAACAATCAGGAGGAAGAGGTGTGAGGAGCTCACGTACATCATAGAAAAAAGCGAGTACTGCCAGCCCGTCCGCTTTGTCTTTGGCCTCAGCAAAGCTCTTGTACTTGTCAGAATTGTAATGAACGACATGAAGCTGGAAGAAAAGGTGGAAACAAGAGCAGATTAGGTGTCAACATGTCCTCAACTTCAAATAGAAAACGTATCTAGCGATATAAATGGAAACAGAAAGTCAAAGAAAGGACATTTTTGTTTATCAGTAGTAAAATAATCAGCCGAAAATAAAATCTCTCAAATAAGCAGCCACGGGGGATACGTTCCACGTTCTGATGGAGGCAGGTGGCTTTAGTTTCTTTATGGACAAAATTCAGAGCTTATACTGAAACTGTCAACGATCTTTCATCATAAATCCTTCTCACTGCACAGCACCGGGGTGTTTTTCAGGCCCACCTCTGCCATGTAGCGGATGCCGTCTATGGTGTGCTCTGCTCCACTGGCCTCCAGGTCCCAGCCCCCCCAGTGCAAGTGCATCTGGACTGCTGTGTATTTTCCAGGAAGGCCCTTGGTGATCACCATAGTGGGAGGGAGGTCAATTTGAACTGCAACATGAAGATTTAATCAGCATGAATATTTAACTAACAGCTGATGTGTTTCAGGTGTTTATGAGCACGTCTTCCTGTATTCTTGACTTACATTTTATTTAGAGAAGAAAAATGGGATTCCTTTTATGTGTCATTACTGATATAAAAAATTCAAAGTAGCCTAAAATGACATACCTTTTAATGTAACATATTTTTGAGAGCTAGAGTAAAGGAAAGAGGGGTCTGTATTATTTAAGAAAAGAGTAGCTTTAGAGATTTTCCTGGAAGCTGGAAATTCATATTCAAATTTCTGTGAATTTTAAAGCTGACCTGACTCCTTAAAAGTGAAGAGCAGTTATATAATTGTTATATCATACTCTTTATCATACTCTTACCCGAGTGCCCGTTGTTCGACATGAGGAAATTCCCCCTCTGAGTATCATATCCGCTGAGCTCCAGCTGTAACATGTCTGGGTTGTGCCTCACGCTGCGCCGCTGGATGTCAATTGGGGATTGCTTCTTGCCGCCGCACGCAGGGTACTTTGTTGGCCAGTGCATCTGGTCCAAAGCTCCCTCTAAGAGCAAAACAGATAAATACAAGCCCATTTACCTTCCAAGATGGAATAAAAATGCATTTTGCCTATACGTTCACTGGATGGGTGACAGTTTTGTCATACTGGTTTGGTGGCGCTTGTTTGTGGAGGATTTACTAAAACTCACAGGTTGTTGGTTTGATTAGGCACTCACAGAACTTGCTAAACAGGGTTTGGATTAAGTTTACTTTAGTGTTCATCCCAGAAAAAAAGCAACATTACAACACAGCAATTAATTAGCACCAACCGCTGTAGTAATTTAGTCTGAAAGTGGTTATCCAAAAAGCATCCATGCAATGCAGCGTGCGTAAATCAAGCAGCAAAATGGCTGGAAAGTATTTGGCACAAGGTAACTGTATTCGTGCCATCGAATAAAACAGCACATTAACGTTTTAGCTATTCATTTTACTTTGTGGCAATTCGTATTTTACGCACACTTTACGCAAGGAATATTTCACTTTCACTACAGATGCCATAAAATTAAACAAAAACATTTATCTTTTAAAAGTCTGAGGAAAAAGCCAACCTGTGTATGTCCAGTGTATATCATCATGAACCCCAGCATTGACCAAACTGACCAAAACCACGGAGACAAAAGCAGAGAGGAGCTCCATCATTGCGTCGCTGTTCTGTCACGGACAACACTGACACCTCACAGAGGTTTTCTCCCACATTTAACCCGCCAGTGAGAAAGGGAGGTGTTGAAACCTCAGCTGAAAACGCCCAGAGCGATACCCAACAGCGCCAAAGTGACTGGAAAAGAGCTCTACAGGGTGATTTGGCTCTCTTATCTGAAATGTGTTCCTAATTTAGGCTTGGTCTGATTTATTTTATCTCAGTGTTGTGTTAGTGTGGAAACTTTTTTAATTGAACACGTCGGTAGATGTAGCAGTCCTAATTTGGTTTTCCAGCTGGATGCTTTAAAGACCTGTGCCGGTGAATGTATCAGAATTCTTGCAAAATGAGTCGTCGGATAATGATATTTTCGGAGATTTGAATCTTCTTACAAGCTGAGAAGGAAGTGCTGACTAACTGTACGGGGAACCTAAAGCCACAGGGCAAGCACATTCATGCGAGGCTTACTGAGAAACGAGAAAAATAACTGATAAAAAAAAAACGTTTCCGTGAATATACAATATGGTTTTATAACAACAATGTACTACAGCATGCATCACCTGTTAATGCATGCCAGTCTCAACATGCCCAACACCTCTGCTCCAAATGCCATAGCTGTCAAACTGGGGGGGGTGTGAGCATGAATGTGCAGTTTGCCTTAAGGATTGAGTGTCCTCACAAGAAAATACTTTAAAAGGGACAAACAAGGGAAGAAAGCAAACATTTTGTCCTTTTTTCCTTCTGAGGAGCACTCTGGAATTAATATTCGGGCAAGACGGCTTATTAACTTTCCCACGTGAAATTAGATGAGAAATACAGTCTAACATCTGTCCGTTAAATGTCATGCTACTACAACCAATGAGCTGGCAGACATTTGGCAAATGTTTGGGAACAACTGGGCAAAAAATATGAGTCCAAATTCACCTAAAATGTTTAGTGGGACTCATCCAAAACAAGCGTTGTGGGTTTGGGTGAATGTGTTAACCCTAACACGTCTGATCTCTCACGTCTGATTCCAGAGTGCTCCTCAGAAAAAAAAAAAGGACAAAATGTTTGCTTTCTTCCCTTGTTTGTCCCTTTTTCTCCAATCAAGTTTTGCACAGCCCACAGGTTTCCTGGGGTCCACTGAGTTACTGACGGACATAATTTGAGCTTAAGACCAAATCCTGAAGGTAAGAGACAAAACAGATCCAGAATAACTGTTCAGCAAAAAGAGAACACTTAAAAAAAAACATAGTGTTAGAAGAAAAAGTCTTGACAAGGCAAGGTTTGCTTGATACAGTTCTTTCTATGGAGCAGCACAGTGCAGGTTTGTACGGTTGGATCAATTAAAAACATGGCCTTTGGACAGATTGGTAAGAATTCAAAGGACAGTTGAAAAAAACAACAACTAAACATCAGCACTAACACATCATACCAACTGTCAAGCACAGTGGACGATGACTGATGATTTGGGCTTTCGGTCCACTAAGAACTCCTCTGTAGTCCAAAGTGTTCTAGACAAATATTTGGCCATCTGTCTGATGGCTAATTGAGTGGAGCACTGAGGACAATGACCCCTGACATAGCAGAAAACCTAACAGTAGGACAAACTAAATCAACTGAGGCATTACAGTGGTCCAGTCCAGGAAGAACTAAAGACTTTTACTGTTTTAGAACACATTTTGTCCTCTCTGAGCAGCATTCTGCAGCCTCTCCACTGTTGAATGACACCTTTTTTTTTTTGGCTAACAACACTGAAAAACTGTTCAAAACCAGGCCAGAGCCGGCCCATAAGCCAGATGAGACCGGATTGAGTTTTCTGCACCCACAAAGACTGAGATCATGGAGAATCCACAGACATGATGCCTCTTACTGCTGTACTAGACATGAAACTGGACTGTCTTCTTCTGTAGTTAATCACTAGGTTGATCTGTTGGATAAGGGCAATGACAGTATTTACGATCTTGGAAACTTTAATGGTGTAATTGTGCCAACCAACAGAAAGCCGGTAATTTAAAAGCCCACTTAAGGTGAGTTTGACATATGGGCTGCTGTGTCACTCAGCTGCAGAGCAGCTCCAGCAAAGAGGACACATACAAAAAAAACAAAGCACCCCTCTTTCAAAGAAGGTCGCATTTATCTTGAGCTGGTTAAATTGCTTAAACACAGGATAGAATGCACGACAAAGCTGCGCACAAAAGCCGCATCACAGGGATCTTAAATGCAGACTGTGGGCTTTTCGGTTTTAATGAACACCATTATTGTTTTCCTTTAAACTCATTTCAGCTTTCGATTTAACATCCCAACCTTCTTATATGTACTTTTCAGCTATCTTTTGAGCTTCTCTGCCACTTTGACAACAATTTATCCGCTACTAAACAAATACAGATGGATCTGGAGTTTGTATTCACACTTGAAAATGCTTTTGGTGTGTTTAAACATGTCAGCCCCCAGTTTCCGTCTCTGATAGGTTCTGAAGTGAATATGGGAGTGTGTAAAATACGACTGATCCATCTTGTGTGTTTTTTCTTAGTCGTGAATCAAAACAAACAATCAGAATCTTTTCTTTTGTTTTGGGAAAACCCAAATGCTATTTTAACATCTAATTCAAACCTATAGATCAGAACAAGCTGTGGTTCCTAAATAATGACATGTGTTAATGGCTAAAGATACATAAATTGATAGAAAAACAGATCCGTTTTGAACCAGGAGCCAATGTGCATGAAAGCTTCTCAAAGGAACATCCTGCTTTTTCTAAACATGTTCACAGTTCGTTGACGACATTCAGCCTGTGAGTCACAGAGCAGGTCATATGGAGCATGATTTAACCTGAAAAGGCAGCGGCAGGCTTTTCTAAAGACAACTGTTATCCAGGGTTTTTCTTGAAAGAGTGGGGCATAGTTTTTTAGACATTAGTCACATAAAGTTTATGTACTGAGATTTGACTGATCTGGATTCCCGACAGCCTGCTCACTGAAATGTGCAGCTGTTGCTGGCTTGTGTGCTGGAAAAAGAGTTTTTAAGCTTTTCCGCTAACCCCTGTGCCTCATGCATCAGAGAGGGCTGCTGCTTGGGAAACATGTGAACTTTAAGACTGATTGGCAGCAACATGCTGCAGACAGCCGTTTGGAGCCCTTTGGCGGTGACTGGAAGATGTGACAGTGAGGTGACTTTGGTGGCAGGCGACAGGAGAAATGGTCCACTCAAGTCTGAAAAGGAAGCAAACAAGCATGCGTCTGTGGTTCAGGCTGGTTAGAGTCGCATCCTCTGAATAGGGTCGACCCGGATTTTCTCCATTGTTTATCCTGTTCTGCAATATGGTGGATAAACAGTGTTTACACTCACAATGTCACACTAAAATTCACTGCCAAGTTAGGCATCATTCGTTTCTCATGAATAGCTTATGCATGATTTGAATTATTCGCGACACTCCTGTGTGCAGCTATAACTACTTCTCTTAGTTAGTTTGAACACCAAGCTCTCGCTTTCAGATCAGATAAAACTATTTTTAAGTTATAATCAAATACTCGGGAAGATGCTAGACATTCATTAATTCTGCCATTGTCATGTATGAAATAGGTCACTGAAAAGGTTACCCCACTTTTACAACAATGCAACAGGTTCTTTTCTTTGGAGCGATTGTCCATAGGGTCATGGGTTCAGTTTCCAAAAGAAACCGATGTTTGTCTGAAGGAGCCTAAACAACTTCCAATAGCAAGGGAATTGTCTTAAAAATGATCTAAAGAACACTGCAGTACTATTTGGCAGCCACTGGAACAGTTAGAGTTATAATCAAATGGAGCCCACTATGCAACTCGGAATAAACTGAATATCCTCTGTTCTTGGGTCTGTGCTGGATGCAAAGAGCAACAAAATATGTTGAGTGAGTAACCCATTATAATGGAGAAATATCTCAAGCGCTGCATGGCCCATGAGGGCAATTTCCTGTTTTATTTATTTTCTTATCTTTCTTTCTTGCCCTTGTAAGTTTATTTTTTTTTTTACAAGAATTGACATGTCACTGTGAGGAAAGAAAGGGTGTAAAAAGTAGGGCTGATCGTGACTGATATGGTTCCTGTGTCCGTTCCTGTGTTTTTGTCATCTCACCGTTAAACTTTGACTGGAAACTTTAGCTTACAAATATTAATGTAATCTGCAACACAATGGCTCTTATTACAATGACTAGTTAAAAACATCCTCTGTGAAATGCTTAAAGTCTAGTCTTGGAAGCTGGTAACAATTCGGCTGTCACGCATTTTTGGTTAAATAGTCATTTTAAATTGGGCGCAGGTGTGAGTGTGCATTGATGTTTCTCTTTCCAGGGTGTTCTCTGGGTCTTGCCTCTCTCTTCAGATAACGATCTTAGCCGGATACAGACCAAAGATGGATTGCCAATTAATAATTCAACCTTTGGATGAAGAGCTGATGATCTACTCTCAGTAACAGTGAAAAAAACTCATAATATTCAGTTGCTACATGGACATGACAGAACTTGCTTTTGTAATTATACCTCTTATGTGTAGATACTAACTCATTATCTTCTCATTTCTTTCTTCGTTAATGGGAATTTGTGGTCTATATGTAAGTGGTGGAGTATTTACACTTAATATGTATGGCTTTGGTCATATACATTTCAGAATTTTACATAAAACTCGCATGAGAAATCTAACAAAATTAAGCTTTTTTTTAAACAGGTAAAACCCCTTTATATAATGTGGTGAAAGCAGCTGTTGTTAACCAGTTCGATGCCAAACAACTGCAGAGACAGTCCACTGTTTACATAGTATTATATAACACAAACAGTAGCTAATCTACAAGTCCCACTCGAGATTTTGTACTTTGCTCACCACAAGTAAGGGCTTGGTGTTTAGCACCAGCACTTCTCAGCAAGAGGGTTCCAATTTAAAGACACTGGTTGAAAAAATATCGGTTGACAAATTTAATTTCTATTTTCCATCTTGTACTTTATGTCAATGTTTATATCTTTATATCTATGTTTGTGTGGAACAATCTTTTGGAAAGATTTTAAAGAAGAATAACATCTAGAACCTGCAGGACAGACCCCCTGAGAGAGGGTCATGATACATTATTTTGTTCATGCTTACATTAAGAGTAAAGAATTAAAGAAGATTTTGAAGAAAGTACCCATTAGAGAGGACTTGGAGTGTGTCTATAGAGTTTCCTCTTTTACAAAATGCAAATAAACTGAATGGAGCAAGTAGAGTATTTAGGTGCTTGTTTTATTACACCATGCAAAATCAGTTTTTATCCATAGTCTATCCTTGTGAGGTCCTCTGAGAAAGGAGAACGTGTCTTAGGGCTAACAAAAACTCACAGTTAACTGCAGGATTTATACTCATACACCATGCTCTCCACTCTGTCTGATATCTATACAGAACAAAAACAAACAAAAACGAAAGAGTATTGTGGAACAGTTAGTTTCCGGGTGGCAGCTGTAATTTGATCATAGTTTTGGCCTCACACCAGCTTCCCCCCTCTTTGCATTGCTGTAGCCAAACAGCAGAGGTCTCCAGTGTTCCCTAACTCACCTCAGCTGCTCTCTGTCTACTCATTACGCTTGCATCCATTTACCTGATCACTCACAACATATTTACTGCCAAATCCTCGGGTATAGTTTTTCCCTGTCTTTTATTTTTCTTTTACATTTTTGCTCTTGTCACCTTTTGGATGATGGATTTTGCTCCATTTTTTTCTTTTTTCTTTTCTAGGTGGAAGCTCTTCAGTAGTAAAGAAAAATAGTCCAGTTGCTCTCTTTTCGGGACAAAACCTGCTGCTATGATCCACCCATGCATAAATCCTACTTAAATGGTCCAAAACACTGCCTACTGGTTGCAACGTCTGGCTGACTATTCCAGCACCAGGTGGCGCAGTAGGCTTTAAAACAACGACTCCTTCAAGGTCACTGCAGCAAGATTTCATCACTGTTGCTGCTGCTGCTGCCATTGATCCTGTTTACCGAGGAGCTGAAAAAAAAACACCCAAATGAGATGTCAGCTTTGTGGAGAAAAGCCCACTACTCATACTGTAACTTTGAGATTTCGAGATTATCATAGAGGTTTCATTCTGACCAGTCGATGCTGCATCCAGACGAGGCGTTTGAATATCACCATATATATAAATGCATGCATGTATACATATGTATATTAAACACGTGACTCCTACGTGTTGATTAATCTTCCAGATGCTGTTTCCTGATTTACAGGTGTGAGGCATTTTAGATATCATAAACAGACGTTCAGTGCTGAGGTTAGGCTTCATAACCCGGAATCATTCAGCTCTCTGAGTGAAATTATCTTTTAATTCGTAATCGACGGAGAGTCACTTCTAGGAAACGTGACCACAACTGACATGTGACCAACAACGAAACACTGCATGGGAGATCCCTGCCATGCCTCTCTGCACGTACTCGTCTCTGCGTCATCTTTATTTCCGCATCGAAATGCCTTTTGAATTAAAACCCACCCATGGCAGAAAATAATCCCCCCCACACACACACATCCACACTAACACACACGCTCACTCACACGTACGCACACATCTCACGCTACTTCTGTTATGTTTAAAAAAAAATCTTGTTCATTAAATAAATTGGTACTCTTATTGTCAGGATGGAAAATCCGCATCCTCGCCACCGTTTTTCGGCAGGTCTGACTCCTGATGGTGAACGTGCATCTGGACTCGCTCTCGTCTGTGTCGTGAGTCCGTCTCGACCAATAGCGTGGCGCGGCGGCCCCGCTGCTTCCTGGTTCCGTCCGCTTATCACGCGCAGCGCAGCGTCACGAGCGCCTTCTCTGCCTGCCCGCACGAGAGACAGACAGCACCGTCCTTGCACACAGTTAGGCCGGAAAGGTAACCTAACGTCACGATTTCTGCTTTTTTAAATATTCCAACGTAATGAAATGTAGCAGCTGCTAAGGCTCGAGGGTCTATTCTGAAACGGGGTTCAATGTAACGGCTGTTTCCTTCTTTAAATAAGTGTCCACATGTTGGGTTTTAATTCTCGTCGACAAAACTGAACGACTCGTCCTTGCGTAAGGTGTCACTCGTTCCGTTCGTTTGTGCTTTTCCTAGCTCGGACACCAATTTAAATGTCCAGCTCATAATTCCGTGTGTTGCAGGATGGAGCTTTTGGTAGCCCATTTGGTAGTCTATTTTTAAACCGAATCGTCAGCTGGCGAGACCCCTCTCCATTTAGAGCGGCGGTGCGAGTGAGGAAAAGGGCGTCAAGTTGCAGCTCCAAGTTGCAGCCTTTTCTGTCTTTATCAGGACGGAATAGCCCGTGTTGGCGTCTTTTGTTCGTAGTCAAAAGGAGTTGTGGGAAGTCTAAAAAGCCCCACTCGGTGGCTCGGACAGCTACTAGTTGCTTGAAGCAGACATGGAGGTGTGTCCACAGAGGAAAGGAAAATTACTGTGTGGGGCAGGAGTGCTACACCAGTTTCCATTTTCAGGCTTCTTGTCAGTGGACATGCAGAGCCTTCGTTATTCAGTCAATATCGAGGCTTATTTCAGACGTTTATGAAATGTTTTTTTGAAATGTCTATAAAGTAAACAAAAAAAAAATCACACAACTCTTTTGTCACTTGCTAATCTATTCTAGGTCCAGGAGATTTGGAACTTACAAAATAAAAATTGTGTGCAGGAGTTGTGCTTTTAAAGAGCAAAACTATCAAATGTCTGTCCTTTTAATTATTTATTTACACTTGGAAGCCATTTTGCTGCTGTCGCTGACCTGCTTGCTTTTATAGTGGCTCAGAAAGAACATGAACAATGATCAGATGTTTTTATTTATATCATATTTTCCATGTATCACTTCAGTATGCTTTATCATAATGCTGCAGCCCCATCTGTCAGGCTATGATCAGAAGAGTTAACATTGCTTACTTCTGTCCAAATAAAATGGTAAAAACTTATCAAAGTGTATGTTTATTATTGGAAATATCTGTCCCTGTCATACATTTCAGAATATAATGGGAAAGGAAATTTAGTTCTGTTACCAGTTACTTGATGGTTTTCGTTACTCTGGATTTTTCCATCTAGCTGCTTTGATTTGTGTTCTGTGAGTGTTTGTGTAATGTACGTTTCCACACAGGGTTTTTTGAGGTCGGCATCTTTTCCCATTGATTCTGATGTGCTCAAACTCTGCTTTCCAGGGGGAATTCAGGGTACAGATAGGCGTTGAGAGCAGGATAATCCAGGGATTCGTGGCGCCATGGAACAAACCATGATCAATACAGCACTGCAGGCATCATGGCCCGACTGTCTGCCTTAAAACCATCTTTGGCCAACACCATTGAAATTTTCGAGTGATAATGGGGGCAACTCTGAGGTTAGGTTACAGTCCAGGCTTGTAATCTATATCAGTAGAGTGTTGCTGAGATAACACAGAACAAACGTTTCATTTGTGCCAAGTCACTCACCCACTGTCCCCTCAAAGTTGCTGAAAGGATTTGTTGCGTAATTATTGATAACGGTGCAGTTGTGCCAGAATTTGTGCAATGGTTTTTGTAATCTGGGATATTTGTTCAACCCAGTGGACATGCAGAGTTTTTTTTTTTTTTTCCCTCTTTGTGCTGCAGTAGCCACACCTCTCAGTGGCTCAAACATATCTGCCTTTCTGGCTGGCCCACATCCATCTGGCAGAGTGCAGGGCTTGGACACAAGTTGAAACGAAAGAATCAAATTAGACGATTTATTTCCCAGTCTCAGGTCCCCCCTCCTCCATCTGTAGACTACCGCAGTTAATATTTTATTTGCAAAGTCACTGAAGCTTTAACGGCGTAAGTAGCGCAGCAGGACAGCCTGTCTGCATCTGCTGTGGAGCCGCACTGTGGTCACACCTCTGCTGTCATTTCACCCACAGATCCAGAATCATGTCCATCCTGAAGATCCACGCTCGTGAAATTTTTGACTCCCGTGGCAACCCCACTGTGGAGGTCGACCTGTACACCAAGAAAGGTACTGTACACCCATTTAGTCTTCTACTCATTTTTCTCTCACACAACTGTTGAATGTCTGATTTAGGTTTTTTTATCCCAGTTTAAGCTTGAAAGAATCAAGGATATGAAGAGAAGCTTCTGTTAAATGGAAATTTGTGATTTCAATAGGGCTGTTAGAATTTGTGAATGGTGGCCATGATGAAGCTTTTTATTTTTTTTGTAAAAAAAAACTATTTGAACATATTTAATTTTCACACTTAACACGTAATCCCTGAGCATGACCACATTTTAAAGAGAATATGGTTAAAAATGTGAACATTTTTGTAATATTATAGTCTGCACTAATGAGCTGGTGTGGCTGCTCAGACGCCATGTGCTGCTGCAGTGGATCAAATGATGGATGAGTGAAAATAGCCTATGTCACATCATCATGCCCCCACAGCTCTGTTACTGTAATGATTCCTGCACATGCAGTACAGTAGCATATCAGCAACTTGCTTTCATTTATATTATGAAAAAGGGTCATCAGACTCCAAAAAACATCCAGACTTTGGACTACTTGGACTGCTGTCTGTTCATTCTATCAATGAATGACCAGACTGCATCTGTTTTTAGGAGTGCCTCTGTTTTGTGAGCTGAAGCAAATAAAAGCTCAATAACCCAAATGTCCTGAGAATGTTAATGAGGCAACCTGAATGATCACTGACACGGAAGAGAGTGAAACTGGCCACCCTGCCCAGAATGCTCTGGCTGGCTGTTCTGCAGGCCTTAGTGGTTGTGGGTTACTGTTCTGTTTATTGTAAATAGGGTCTGTGATTCTTCTGTGGACAGGATTGCCTTTTTAAGTCTGGCGGCTGTGTTTTGCCATCATTAACAGCACAGAGCACAGTGAGTGTGTGCCTGTTGTCACTTCTCTGATCTGTTTTTTATCTTAAATTCATTTAAGCTAAGAAAAGTCATCAATTTTTTTTATCAATTTCCTTCAGATTAGGCTGGTTTGGAAGCTTTTGATTTAATAGCGAGACAAATGGTTGACCCCTCCCCCTGCTGCTGCCAGCTGATTTGTTTTCTGTGAACAAAATGAATGGGGGGGGGCTGAGACAGCTGCAGCGTCCTCTTGTCCTAAGCTTTAAATCCTCTCAGACTCTCGCTAGCTCTGCTGCCCCACTAAGCAAATTGAATAGATTTTTGTGCATATTTCTCTCCACTTGAGGAAATCCAAAATGGCTGATCTTTTTCTTTTTTTGTGTGTGTGTGGGGGCGTACCTTGGTATCCTGCCACAGATTCTCTGCACATGCTCAGTTGGCTGGATGTCTCTCTCTGTTACATCACAACCTTGTGTTGCAAAGCCAGGACAGCTTCCTGTCTCCATGCTACGTTTTCCTCTTTTTAATAGAGAATGACTCTAGCTGACAGGGTGGATTAAAAGCTATACGCTCTATATATTGCCTCTAAATTGCAAATTTATCCGTCATGGTAACATCCCTTATGACCCGTTATTCTTCCCTATCACTCTTTTTTTCTTTTTTTTTTTTTGTATATCTTGGTTATGACAAAGTAAATTTAAAAAATGTCCTCTGTGTTTTGAAGGTCTTTTCAGAGCTGCCGTTCCCAGCGGTGCCTCCACAGGCATCTATGAGGCTCTGGAGCTCCGTGATAATGATAAAACACGCTACATGGGCAAGGGTAAGCCTTCTCCTTTCCTTCTCACCATAAACCTGCTAGTTACTTTCATCCTTTTTGCAATCCTTTTAACTACTTTCAAAACTTATACAAAGTCTTGCTTCATCTCTTGTTTATTTTCAATTGCTTCATCTCTCTTCCTCCTGTTAGGAGTCAAAAGAGCAGTTAAATATATAAATGAGTTCTTGGCCCCTGCATTGTGTAACCAGGTAAATAAAGTGTGGAAAAAAGAAACGGGATGACTTTTGTGAAAACGTCTGCACAGCAGCATGAAAAATTAGTTTGCTTCTAACCTCGTCGGGCACTAACGGATGTTCACAGACCTCAAAAGCATTACAGTCAAAGGCTGAATTAGTTTTTATTCATTTTTGTTATGATACGACATCTTCACATAAATCCGGATGCTCTGTGGATATCTGTCCTGCCTGTACTGCATGGTTTTCCTCTGTCTGGGTCAGTCATGGTCTGCTTGTCCCTTGCAGGTGTGACAAAAGCAGTTGAGCATATCAATAAAACTATTGCACCTGCACTGGTTAGCAAGGTAGGACCACTTATTGTTTGACTAATATGACTGTGTGCTAATGTTAGAAACCCAACAATAATTGATCACTTCCTTTTCATTAAGCCTGAAAACAAAATAAACCTTTTAAGACATTTCTAAATGGTTACATTAAAGTTTGAAATCATCTGTAAGTCAAAAATGGATACATGTGAAATATTTTTATTTTTATGTAATTGACAGGATACGTCAATTGTAAAATTACACAGTTCTGTGAGGCTTCCGTTGCTGTGTTTTCTTCTGTACTAACAAACGAGATCAGTTTGAGTTTTTTTTTGTCTTGTTTTTTTTGTATTTGTTTTTGAAAAGCTGAACTTGTCCTGTCTTGCCCAAACAGAATGTGAACGTTCTGGAGCAGGAGAAGGTCGACAAGCTGATGCTTGACATGGATGGCACAGAAAACAAATGTAAGCCGCCCCCGTTTTATTTTTGGAATTTCTGATGGATTATTGATTTGTCATTTTACTTACTAAGTACTAAATTCTTGTCTGTATTTTATTATTTCATCCATTTTGCTGGTTCATTTTTAATGTGTCGGTCTTAAATTTAATGTATTTTTTTTCTTTTTAAATTGTTAAAATACAAACAAATGAATGACTTTAATGACGTGGCCCAATAAATGTTTTGCCCAATAAAGTTAAGCATTTTTTCATCTTGTCAGTAAATGTGACTGACAGGATACACCAGAAATTAGCCACTGTTTAGCTGAATCTGACTCGTCCAAGAAAACCTGTAAAATCCTGTGACTGTTGGACAGAAGTTTGATTGATTGATGAAGTTTGTCAGAAGGCACCACAGCAAGCACTATACTCTATAAAGGGTTCATTGGAGGTTATGCTAATTTGGGACTGAATATTTTTGGCCAGTTGCCGGATTAAATGTATCTATATGTGGGTAATTTTCCACAGTGGAAAAAGAGCAGTGTCTGTACCACATTGACAGTTCCACAATGCATTATTTAAGTCTTCAAAGACACAGCTCTGTGTTCAGATTATTGTACTTTGAATAGACGCAGCAGTTGATTTGTTGTGTCTCTCCCTCAGCTAAGTTTGGTGCTAATGCCATCCTGGGCGTCTCCCTGGCTGTGTGCAAGGCTGGTGCTGCAGAGAAGGGCGTTCCCCTGTACCGCCACATCGCCGACCTGGCTGGCAACCCCGAAGTCATCCTCCCCGTCCCTGTGAGCATAATGGTTCAGTTAGCCAAGCTAAGCACTAATGGCTCTTTGGAGGCTGTCAATGCTGGCCTGCCCAACAATAACTCTTAACCAATGCTCCAAAGAATCATTGTACAGGCCACGATTCCATTAGAGCGGGAAGCTGATCGTCTCGGTTTCCCCTTCAGGCTTTCAACGTCATCAACGGCGGCTCCCATGCAGGCAACAAGCTGGCCATGCAGGAGTTCATGATCCTCCCTGTTGGAGCCAGCAGCTTTAAGGAGGCCATGCGTATTGGTGCTGAGGTCTACCACAACCTGAAGAATGTCATCAAGGAGAAATATGGCAAGGATGCCACCAATGTTGGGGATGAGGGCGGCTTTGCCCCCAACATTCTGGAGAACAAAGAAGGTATGAGAAAATGCTTTCCCCCTCCATATAAAAAAAAAAAAGTAAGAATGCGGGCTGTAAACTGCTTTTATGAAACATTTTGTTTCGTGGGTACGCTCCCACATACCCACGAGGAGAGTCTTGAAAGCTTTGCATTCTTTGGCTCTTCTTAGAAGTGCTTCACTTCTCATTTTACTCTCTGTGCTGACACACAGTTTCTAAATGAAGGCCATAGCTCATTGAATGCGTAGCCTGCTGGCCTCTGACATGCAGAGTCCTCAGTGGATACTCGTGTATGAAAATGATCATTTGTATTTTACTGGAAGCCCATTGGGCACATTTTGAGTGATATTTTTCTATACATCAGCTCTGGAGCTGCTGAAGAATGCCATCGCCAAAGCCGGCTACACGGACAAGATTGTTATCGGCATGGACGTGGCCGCTTCTGAGTTCTACAAGGCTGGCAAGTACGACCTGGACTTCAAGTCCCCAGATGACCCCAGCCGCTACATCTCCCCTGACAAGCTGGCTGATCTCTACAAGAGCTTTGTCAAAGATTATCCTGGTGGGTCTTGCATATTTTGTTTGTAAAACCATTCAGTTCTTCATTTCAGCAGGATGTACATCCTCAGATATACTTAAGTCAGCTCTGCTGTATCAGCATATAGAAATTAAGTATGTGGTTATTTGTTTCCGCTGCACCCAAGTGACAAACATTGTTTTTGAGCTGGATGGCTCGCTAACAGGACTTGTGTAATGCCCTTTGTGTGTTTTTTCACCGATGCATACATCTTTCTTCGCACCCTCACAGTTGTTTCCATTGAGGACCCCTTTGACCAGGATGACTGGCAGGCATGGACCAATTTCACAGCCAGCACCAGCATCCAGGTGGTGGGAGACGACCTCACCGTCACCAACCCCAAACGCATTGCCAAGGGTGTGGCCGAAAAGGCCTGCAACTGCCTGCTGCTGAAGGTCAACCAGATCGGCTCGGTCACAGAGTCCCTGCAGGCGTGAGTGTCCACAACAACAGCAAAGGCCTTTCAGTTGTAAGCAGTAAACAGATGTAAGATGACTAAGGGGGGGGGCATCCCGTTTGTTTTAGCTGCAAGATGGCCCAGAGCAACGGCTGGGGTGTGATGGTGAGCCACCGCTCCGGAGAGACGGAGGACACTTTCATCGCTGACCTCGTTGTTGGCCTGTGCACTGGACAGGTGAAATTTATTTTGTATTTTTTTTTGGGGGGGGGGTTAATGTCAGCAGTGTTCAGATAATTTTTAAACCAGACCAGAGTCTAATGTGGTGTTCTACTCCTTTCACAGATCAAGACAGGAGCACCTTGTCGATCTGAGCGTCTGGCCAAGTACAACCAGCTCCTCAGGTGAGTCTGCGCCAAAGAAAAGCAGCTAAAAACAGGAGTCACGCCATTTAAAAAATGTAAAAAAACAATAATAATTTCGGTGTTCCCTAACAAAACCATCACGTATTTCTTCAGGATTGAGGAGGAGCTCGGTGACAAGGCCCGTTTTGCCGGCCAGAACTTCAGGCACCCCATCTGAGCGGAGCCCTGCTCTCTGGGCCACCGTGTGTTCAACGCTCATAAATAATCCCCACACGCGTACGCCACGCTAGGTTGCCTGCCCTGTATGGAGAGAAGACGGAGAGCACTACTGAAATCCAAGGTCCAAGTCTGTGGCGTGGAGACGCAGCAGTACATCCTGAAGCAGCCTCTGCTCTGCTCATCCTCAAACTGTGCTTTAGCTCCTGAATAGTGTTGGTCCTCGTGTTTGTGTCCGTGTTGCCGTGTGAGAGATTTTTTTTGGTTTAGCTTCTTGTGAGTTTTAGTGAATGTGGTCCTCTGAGTTTAGAGCTACTGTAACTTTAGAAAGCCTCTGCCTCGAGCACTGGTAAGAGTTCTGTATGTGCAATGTGTCGCATCTGATAAAAGGTTATGTATTGCTCCAAGCGTGGCAGAAATATGAAATAAAAAAATATAGTTTCAAAAGTTGAGTTTTTTTTGTGTGCTTTTTTCCCCCCACAAATAAGCTGCTTGTCACAGCTTCATAATAAACATTGAACGGCTCCTGAAGGCGGTGAAAGCACAATCAATTAATACTGTGCAGCTTAAGTTGAATTTGCTCTTCAGGAGTTGCTGCTTCTGCCTGTGAGAGGCCTGTGATGCAATCTGAGAGCTTGCCAGAGGCAGAAACATGAACCCAGTGCTGTGTGTTGCCAATTTTGTCCCCTGAGTAAAGGAATGTTGAGGCTCCCTGATAGCTCTTTGTATTAAGCTTTGCCAAGATAAATGAGGGTCTATTCACCGATGGCATGGTACCACAGGGAACTAACTGCCAGCTGGGTTCACGCCACACCACTTCTCTTTGTCCGAGCCCCCTCTGAACCTGTCTACATTCTGTCAGAGAGGAAAGCTTTGACAAATGACCGATGCAAAGACACAGTCTGTCACAGGGGAATCTACATTCAATGATGGGAAAGGGTTCAACCTTTCTCAAAAAATAAAAAACATTTAAAATCGTATGGACTCTTCAACGCATGGGTTGACAGGATTGCTCTGGAGAGGAGTATTTCTTTGTGTTTCCTGCCATCTAGTGGTAACATTCCCACATTGCACCTTTAAGCAAATATAGGTAAATGATTCCAGGATAAATCAAACCTATATGATTAAGTGATTGCAAAAGGTGATAATTAGATAAATTGATAATTGTGTGCACATTTTATCCCCCTAAAAAGTAAATATTCTAAGGCTGGCTGACAGTTCCTAAGGAAGATGTTAATTGTTGGCATGAAATATAGAAAAAGTGGCTTAGGCTGGAGACACTTTTAAGGTCATGATTAAGGAAAAGAAAAAGGACAGCCTGCGCAAATAGATATGAAAATAAGCAACAACTAGTCTTAGACACATCAAATACGTTGTGCACATGCGCCCTGATTACAGCATCACATCACAGTGGTTATGATTTTTTCCCACCTCCTCCTGTAAAAGCTGCTTGACTGATCTTTAACACCCAAATCTCTTATGTTCAGTGACTGAACTGTGCTATTTATTAACGCATCGACTTGTGCTTTACGCTCTGTTTAGTCGTAGTTCGGAGCGATTCTTTTCTATTCTGTCGTTTTCCTCGAGCGCGAAAACAACACTCACGTGCATTACTGTGGAAACCGTATATCATGTTGATGTGTAATATCATAGGAATATTTCCCATTCCAACAAATCTCACACGTCATGTGTTACTCGTGTTTTATGCACAGCTCCTCTCAGAGGTGTCCTATTGTTAAAAAAAAAAACCCAACATAAAATAAGTCACTGCAGCTGTATTGTTTTACAACCGAGCCTTTTTTTTTTTCTTTTTTTTTTTGTCAGTGCTCAATGACAGTCACTTATCGTGTTTGCCTACATGAGGATGAAGCCGTGGCTGGCGCACAGTTGACACCCCCGGAGGAGTCCCAGTGAGGCTGGATGTTCCCAGCTTTGGCCAGTGGGTGACGATATTTTACCGGTTGAACTTTGAGAACCCCCAACTGCTTTCACCCCAAGATGAAGAAGGATGCTGTCATGCTGAGTACCTCTCATATTCACTAGTCTGAGCATCCCGGCAACGATTACTCCCTCTTTACTCTCAAGTCCATCACTTATGACAGCATTATATCAAACGTGGGTCGCTCCGTTGTAGCTCCATAAGACAAGACACACAGGTGGCACTGCAGCTGTTGTACTACCCGTGCAGTGGCGACACTTGGCTAACTAACGTTGGCTAATTGCCCCTGCTGCTGCTGCTATTGTTTATTGTTGCAGTCTCTCATCAAACAAATCACAGATGTTGTAGATCAAGCTCTCAAAGGTAAGTGCTGTGAGCTGCAATCGGCTTCTTCTTTGCTTTGGACATGCATCAATAAGTGGGCAAGAAATGACAAATATGGAGGGATAGTTTATAAACGTTGGGGCTGTTAACGTTCATCCTTTCTCGCTAGCAGTTGGGCTAATTTGCCTATTAGCATCGGCTAGCTAGTTAGCTGATAGACTTGTTTGCCCCTCACTGTTGCTGGCTACACTGTACTGACGTTAGCGGCTAACGCCAGTGACTAGCACTGATTGGGAATGCCAGCGAGGAGCAGTGTAATGTCTGGATACAAACAGCTCATTGACACCGGTTAGCTCAGACCACATGCAATACACACAGCGTGGCATTTCTCTAGAAATAGTTTTTCGGATGCGAACCTTCAGCCATGTTGCAAAAACCTCAAAGCAATTGCTTTTCTAATTTTGTTTTTAACCAGCCAGTGTTTTCCGGGGAGTAGTCAGAGCCCGTGGAGCTATTGTCATTAGCTGCTGGAGACGTTAGCTGGCGATGCTAACCTACTGCCTTTGTGTGTTTTAGTTGTGCTCAGTTGTTGTGTTGCTCATAGTTTTGTGGTAATTTGCGAGGACAGTCTGGGCTGCTTTTGGGCACAACTAACACAAGATGACAACACAGACGTGTTGACTTGTGGAAACAAAGATGCAAGGCTGGCAAAATCTTCTCTTTGGCAGTAATGTGTTAAGAAGAAAATACAACGTGCACAAAGTCCCAGAATTTCAAAACATTACAACAGAAGGGATTAAACAGAGATATGATCTATGTTTGCAAACTTTATTTAATGGGGAAAGCAGAATTATTGTGTAACTGAAGTTAAAGTGTACTTTAAGTTTGAATATAGTAAACAAAGGAGAATTCACTTTAAATACTTTAGGAATAGAAATGTTGAGGTGATTAAAATCTAATTTGGTGTTTGATCCTAAAAAGAAAGTATAATTTAACAACCAAGAAAAATAATTTCTTTGGTGGATTTGGCCTGACAGCCTCCCCCTCAATAATGAGCTCCTCTGCTGATAATGAACACACGCCACAATAAACCATTAAAGGAGTAAGAAACATTTGTTTGCCTTATAACGACCTAGCTATTTTTGTTTGACGGGGAGAATGCGGCTCCATGTTTGACAGCACAGCCTGCGTTTCCTTACTTGTCACCATTAGGCAGGGTGCAAGGAAATCATCCATACACCTTTTTGATATTTTGACAGCAGAGATGTAAAATGAGCTTGACACTGCATTCCCTTCAGTGGCTGTAAACAGCTTAACAAGGACGGGTTCTGATAGAGTGCTGCTGTTCTCCCACTACTTTAAGCATATAACCAGCCTTTGGCAACTGTTCAAGTTCTCCGGATAATGGCACGCCGGAGAGAAAGGTCACAGCACAGAAACTCACAAGAAGCTGCACGCTCGTGGTCTGTGATGTTGGTTACACACTAATGCTTAGAACAGAGGGCCCGCTCGCACACACACTCATGACTTCATATTATTGCACCCCGTCCTCTGCTGTCAAGGCGGCACATTTTGAATCATGTGAGTACAGTGAGTTTGCTAAAGATCATGACATCTTTCTGTTTTTGGGGGGAGGAGGGAGGGATGGGGGTGGCCTCATAACCTTTGAACACTCATACATCTAAGATAATTGCTCATGTGATTTATTCCTTTCTTTATTTTTTCCTGCTGGTGTGTCCTTCTGCCAGTGGCTTAAGCGGTTGCGATTGAAATGTTCCTGAACTATCATTTAGACCATAAACTCGCCGGGGTGAGGTGCAGCGGTCTGCCATTACAGGCTATATGTTGATTACCACTTCGGCACGGCTGGGGCTCCAAAGCACCTTAATGTCTGGTTTTCGTGAAAAGCGAATTCTTTAGCTGCCGCCTAGATGATAATTTAGAAAAAAATGAAGCTTAAAACTGAACATTTATGGTGTTTGTTTGTTTCTTTCATGTTATTCCCAGAGCCCTGATGTGGTCCCGGGGTGCCTGTGCAGTGTTTCATTTAGCATGGGGGCAGATTTGGGTAAAATTACTTTTAGTCCCGTTTCCAGTGACACACCCTGTCCATCCAGTGTTAATCAGGCTGTGTGGCTTTAGTAGCGCCAGAGTGATGATAAGAAAAGTGTAATAAAGCGGCTATTTGCCTTTGGAGACTAATGTGCGTTTGAGTAATGGCTGCTGCCTGTGAGTTGAAGGCCGGACCGTGATGAGGAAAATCCCTTTTCACTGCGCTCTGACACCTCTTTGTTGGATGATGTGTCAATACACATACTCTGGAATTCAATACGCACATGATGAGCTCAAGTGGCGTTTTGCTTTTTGCCACCTATACGCCGTCACCCTTTTCCTCCCAGAGTCGTTACGAGAGATGACTCTCTATTCTAACGTCTGTCTCTGGCTCCAGCCGCTTACACTCTGTATTCTGAAGCACCGTGGCATTATGCTGCGGTACAAGATGGTGCTGGGAGCTGTCATTGGAGTGACTACCCCGTGTTTTAAGAGGGGCATTATACTGTCAGCTGCAATATTATATTTCAAAGAGAGGCGATTTGGCTGATTTATGTTTTGAGTATGTTTTGCCGAAGGTTTTCACATGCCGAAGGAAACTGTGTTGGTTTACAATGCGAGCCAGCAGTGGAATGTGCTGTTAGGGAGCCGGGCAGAAAATATCCAACAATCTAGACATCACACTT